CATAGGCCTTTAGGTTGGTAGCATAATTCCTAATGCTAGGCCACCAGGGCACCATTTTTGAGCTCCAGTATAAGTTTTAGTGAGTAATTTGTGCATTTTTCTTTAAAAGATTTGTTATTTATTTAATCTGTTATGCACATTAAAAATGATCTTTCCTTTTCCCCATTGAGAGATACTGAGGTACAACGATGTTATGTAATGGTCTGTTGCTGTGTATCATTATGTCAGAACTGACCCGTAGCTAATCCTGCGGTGGTGTTTTTAGACACAGTCAATTGCAGAGGAAATTTCCTATCTTTCTCTCATGGAGCATTTGGTGGATTTGAACCACTTGCCTTTGCATTGTCAGCACAATTCTTTAGCATGAAGGCACTGGAAATGACTTATTTAATTAAATGAACAAGAAAACATTAGCCTGGGAGTGAGATTTATATAGTCATTTATCCTATGCACATGATGTTAATATTTGAATTAGTCTCCTCTGCTAAATTGACTAAGAATCAGTCATTCAAATATAATAAGGGAAAGCTATGTGGTCTAAAACCAGGAAAGGGTTGCCTTCTTCTATCATCTTTGTTCAGTTTATATGCTGAACAAATAATACAAGAAGCTAGACTATATGAAGAAGAGAGATAAAGATTAGAGGGAGAATCATCTGCAATGTGTGATATTTAGATGATCCACCTTGCTTACCAAAAAATTAAGAAAATGTGAAGCCCTTTATAGATGATGCTTAAAAACTATATACAGTCTCAGTATGAATTATATCTCCATATATAAAAATTAAATATCCTCATAACTGAACCAATAAACAGCATTGTGAAAAATGGAGAAAAGAATGAAGTTTCCAGGTATTTCATTTTACTAAGACTTGTAATCCACACCCATGGAAGCATCAGAGAAGAAATCAACATGTATTGCCCTGAGCAAAATCTGCCATCACAGACTTCTTTAAAGTACTAAAGAGAAAGTATGTCGTATGTCATTTTGAAGATGAAGATACATCTGACTTAAATCAATTGCTTTATATGCATATGAAATTTAGATAATGAATAAGGAAGACTGAAGAGAAATTGATGTCTTTTGAATGGTGGTATTAACGAAGAATACTTACTGTCACAAGAACAAACCGATCTGTGTTGGAAGAAATGTAGCTAGAGTGCTCCTTAAAAGCAATATTGGTGAGACTGTCTCACGTACTTTGACTACGCTGTCAGTACAGGCAAGTCCCTGGAGAAGAACATCACACTCAGTAAAACAAAGAGTCATTCAGGAAAGGAAGACTCTAGGAGATGGATTAAGACAGTTACTGTGACAGTGGGTTAAGCACAAGAGAGGCTGTGAAGTGCTATCTGATCAGGCAGAGTTGGTGTCATGAGAACATGAGAAATAGCAAGAAAGAGAAGTTGACTCCATCACACCTGAGTATGTATCATGAGAACAACATGAAAACCAAGATTCCTAGGTGATAAAAACAAACAAACAAACAAACCCTAAAGATGGTTTGAACCTATCTATTGTTCTCATCTCATCTCAACTTACTGCCATAGAGTCAAAACCAACTCATAGTTGACCCTCCATAAAGTTTCAGAAGCTGTAAGTCTCACAGGAAGAGGCGTCTGCCCTTCTTTCTCCCTCAGCTACTGGTGGATTTGAACTACTAGAGAGGCACTGGCTTGGAGTTATAGCAGTGAACTCCCTACAAACTTTGTCATCAGACTTTTGTTGTTGTTATGTGCTGTCGAATCGCTTGCGACTCATAGTGACCCTATGTACAACAGCCCCAAACTCTGCTCTGTCCTGTCTGTGCCAATCACACTGTCTCTGACACACCCATCCCCTCCTGCGCTGTCCCTCCACCCTCCTGAGCATGGTGTCCCTCTTCAAGGGCTGGTGCCACTTTGCAACATGTCCAAAGTATGTCAGATGAAACCTCAGAAACCTTGCCTCTAAGGAACAGCCTGGATTAACCCTCTCCAGGATGAATATACTTGTATTTGTAGCAGTCCATGGTATACTCAATACTCTTCTCCAGCACCACAACTCAACAGCATCAATTCTCCTTCTATTCTCCCTAGTCATTGTCCAACTCTGAGTCATAACACGTGATTGCAAAGACGTATCAGATGTACCTTAGTCTCCAGAGAGACACCATTGCTCTTCAGTACTTTGGAGAGGTCCCTAACAGCAGAATTTCCTATCACAATTTGTCTTTTAATTTTCTGGCTGCTGGTGCCAAGAGTGTTTACTGTGGAGCCAAGCAGACTAAAGT